TATGATTGTCAAACTCTTGATCCCTCAAGCTGGGAGCTAGGCTTGACAGTAGTGCTGGACTCTATAATGGGAAGTCTCAAAAGGACTGCTGGGGAGGGGTGTCAGTCCCCCTCCTTGCTGAAATATGGTCACCCTTGGTAGCAGACAGGCTGCACTTTGGGTTTTGATCCGAGTGCTGTTACAGCCTGTCCCCCCCAGCATACTCGGCAACGTCCAATCTGATTTGTATTTGAGCCTCCAGGCATTACTGTAGTACAAATGTCAAATGATAATCTGTCTCTAAAAGCAGTGGCATGTTCTGTAATTTAAACATCACGGACCCATGGACCAGAGATATCAGGTGGATTCTCCACATGTGATTATATTGCTACTGGACCAGGCTGCGGATTAATATGTGCTAGTGGGTTGGCATTTGGGGGGGGGGGAATTGAGAAAACGGGAAGATCTTGTTATAATATCTGTAACTTCAATGAATGTTCTGTTTAGTTTGGAAGTGGGCAGAGCAGTAACAGTATTCTATCTGTCCTGGTGCTGTCAAACTTTTAAGAGGGAGCTTGAGGTTTTCTGTCAATAGCTTCAGCTCTTTAAAATACTAGACATTGTTGTTTAAGCTGTTGGATTTGCTCAGTCAGAATGATGATGTTGAGACCTAACGACTTAGTAGTCCCTCTTTATATTAGTCAGGGTTGTCAAATCTTAGATAAGTACCTTCAGAATTGGAAGTTAAAAAAATAGCGAGTGTTGCAAGCAGAAAAAAGTTGTTGCATCTTTATGTCTTGAAGTATTTTAGAGCATAGCTAATTTTCAGTTGTAGATCCAATTGTGGCAGGGTGAATCCACAAATCCTCTCAATAAAATTGATATCTATAGTAGCAGATTTGAAGCATCCCAAACTTCAGTAGCAATCTGAATTGGTACTCAAGGTCCTCAACAAATTTGTATAGGAGGTTCTTAGATTCATGCTACTGCTTTCACTGCCATTCTGCTGTCAAGCTGTCCCCACTCTCATAGCAACTGTTCCGCTATATGAACACATGTACCCTTTGTTTTGAGAGCAGACTTGTTCTTCCTGGTGTTACATATCTCAAAAGACATTAAAATGACCTTAAAAAGATGTTAAAAGATCTTAAAAGGAAAAATAGCATTTTTAGAATGATAAATCTAGATTTGTTCAATATACCATAATTGCATTTGAAAAAGGGAAAAATTATTTTCTGTTGCATGTAGGAAGGAAGACTGCCAGGAAAGAAAAAAAACAACCAAAAACCAAAAAGCTGTAAAAGTTTGTAGTGTTCATCAATTAGCAAATAAAGATAACTAATGAGTACCCTGAATTACATGTTGGATTTCATTTTAAGACTCATGGCATTATCTGTGAGGAGCTGTGCCAGAAATCACAATCTTTGGTTATGTTTTTAGCTTAAGTTAAATAATGCCTAAATTTCCAAAATGATGTTACTAATCAGTATTATGCAAATAATTCTGTTTTTATGTATTAACTTCTGGCTTTGTTACATTTTATAGGGTTTTAGATAAATATATACACATGTTGAGCTCATTGGGAAATGACCTGTTTGGTTATATTTCAGATGAACGGCATCTGACTGTGCTTACTAGAGAGGAGCCCTCCCTTTTCTTAGCAAATCCATTTCCTCCTTTTAAATTGCAAGTAAAATCATACATAGAAGAACAAGGGAGTATCATCAGTCTGATTTAACTCTCAGCACTGGAAAAATGTGACCCCTAAACCTCATTAGACCAGAAAGTTTGAAAGGGAATTTATCCAAAGGGTGCATTTTCACTCTGTAAAGCAAAACAGAGTTAACTGTTTTCCTAGGAAGAAGAATATGCAGAAGGTTATGTAGCAGGTCAGTGCAAACAACTGGAAGTAACCACTTCTTTCTTGGTTCATCTTTTCTCATAAACACAAAGCTGAGCCTGCCAGATACTCAGCCCAGAGTTTTCATTTGCTTCTCTGTGTTGCAGTCCACATTTTTGGGTGGCCAGCATATTGCTGGATCTTTCTGGAAAATTATAGGTAACTCTTGCACCCTGTTAAAAAAAGTGTGCTAGTAAACTGAACAATAAAAATAAGAGTTATGTGGCTGTACTAGTTTCCCTGCTAAGCCTTACCTTTACCTGTTAAGTCTGCATATCCCTATATGTCTTACACATATGGTTAAAGTAAGCCAGGTTGTCGTTCAGTACCTTTCAACAAATTAATCAACAATAGGGAAAGGAGAAACCAGCGTATTCATACTGGGGATGTTGGTGCAAAGTCCAACCACATCAGGCCTGGAGCCCCCAGGGAAGTCCCATCTTCTGCAGCAGGTCTCTGACCTCCTCCTGCCTCGCCTCTCCCCAGACGTGTAGCTTTGCAGTCAGTGGTCATACTGCATTTTGGTACTGTGCAGAAAGGGGGGTGTCTTGTCAATAGTTCTTGTAGCAGTATTAATTAAAGTTTCTTCTCTGTTCACATTGTGCAAAGCATACTGTGCTGCTGAGGAGAATTTGTTTTCCTGTAGTCTTAGCCATCTTCTAGCGTTAATCGAGTCTCTTTTTCTCCCCACATCCCTGCAAGATAAATAACATTCTGTTCTACTTTACTGTATTTTATTTTTGCAGTATATCAATTACACGAGTCACAGCAGACATCTCACTTGCCAAACGCTCAGTATTGAACAACCCCAGTAAGCATGCGATAATAGAGCGATCTAACACAAGATCAAGCTTGGGTAAGTACCTGTAATGATGCTATCTACAAATTGGCTGTAAAGTACGCTACTTTCAGTCCATATCTGTAAGCTAAAAATAGCCTTCTCTCTGCTGTGAGAAAATCACGATTCCCGTAATTCAGAAATCCTGGCACTAGAAATCATTTTAAAATCACTACTGCATAAACTTCATGTAGTGCTGATTTTGGTTAATCCTGCTTATGTTCAGTTTTCATGTTCTGCTGTTTGCCTCAGTGGGGAGAAGTAGCCGTCCATAAGGTAAATAAAATCTGAAGAGATGTTCTTCTGGTTAAACAGAAGTGATGGTTTCAGAATACCTGAAATTATACAGATATTATTGATGTTATGCATTATCTTTGATAAGATTGCTAGTAGTGATAGCTACTGATATTAGACCTGAAAAAAATTATTGAAGTACACATTTTCTGAATGTAGTAGCAGTTTAAACTAATGCTGAAGTTGGTACAAAAAACGAAAGGTGGAAAAGGGGAGACATTTTTTAAAAAATATACAGCTAGGTTCATAGTATACATATCTGTCATCTTACATGAGTCTTTTTGTACTAAAGCTTCTCCAGTTGTATAAGTAATTAAACATTTATTAGCCAGAAAGAAAAACAAGCTTAGCTGGGAAGATGTAACTAGATGTCACCATCTACAGTACAGATAGCTACACTGGAGCTTGTCATCCCAAGGTGTCCTTAGAGTAAACAGGAAAAAGTGGTCACTTTGGAGTCTCAGCTCATGTGGGCTGACCTCAGCCTTTCCTCTAGCACGAGGTGTAATATATGCAAGATTCCGCTGCCGCAACTGGCTCATTCCCTGTGTTAGGGACACCTGGAGGTAGCCGAGATAAACACTACCAGAAATCTACATACTCGTGCTAGGGCATTCAACTGACATACGGGACACCCAAGTTCAAGTCCCTGCTCAAATAAAAAAAGGAGGAACTTGAACTCTAATGTCCTAGATCGCAGGTAAATGCTCCAGCCGGGTCTCTGTCTTTACAAGGCTGCAGATTTCTCTTTGCAGGTAACCTTTGAGAGAGCTTGGTTTCCCCTGAACACAGCATCGTATCTTGAAATCTTGTAAAATTTGTGGAACAGGAAAAGTGTCTCATTCATCCTACTAAATGGGTTATCAGTTTTATAATAAAATTTCTGAGTACGCCTGTACTTGGAGTATTTAACATTTGCCTAATATAGCTGTCCTTCTTAGAATGAGCTTCTCTGCCTTAAAAAGTTTGACTTCCCTTTCTTGAAAATTTGCTTCTTAAAACCCTTGCTTTCAGCTATGTGGAGGCTGTGAATCTTTACTTGCAAGTAGTCTGATAGCTTCCAAGTATGTCTTAATTTAAGTGTTTTCAAATATCAAAATGCAATGTACTGTAACAACATAATGAATATCTTTACATGCAAGAATATTCTTCTATGTGAATTTTAGTCTTGTTGCCAAAGTCTATTTAAAAATCTAATGAAAAGATATTAAAACAAGTGTCACTTGTTTTGAATAGAACTGAAAATTGGTGATAAAGATGGAGGTCACCCACTCATGGAACAAACAGAACCATGGTGATTAATTTCCCAACCTGAACATCAAAGCATGTGCAATTTTGTGCAATACTGCACAAATATATGCAGCAGTAAAAAGCGTATCATCTATTCCTCATGCTAAAATATTTTCATATATGTAAAACAGCTATCACAAAAATCTATACAGGAAAAAAAATTATGAAAAATAAATGCAGCCCTATCGTGTACACCTTTATCTCATGGTAACCTTACCCTTAAGAACATCAACATCTTTTCTTTGGGTCAAGGTATTTTTTGGATAGAGGTATTTAAAATGGAAGTTCTGACAGAACCTCAGTTGGAGACACCCAAAAGATGACAGTGATTATATATATAAAAATATGCGGATAGATAGATATGTCTCTCTAGTTTTTGTAACAGGCCTATTATTATTACCTACGATTTCCTGCTACGGATCAGGTTTTCAGTTGCTTATAATTGTTCTAAATATGAACTGATTTATAAAATAATTTTGAATTATCTTGGGAAATATTAGTTAGAGCAACTAGGTCATATTAACAATGAAGTTAGGGCAAAAAATAGTTTTACCTATGTTAAAATATTCTCAAAACCTTTTCTTTCAGAAGCTGTAATACTCCCATACTTCTCAAAATCTAGCACGGTTTTGAAATTTGGTAGTGAATTGAACAGTATTTCAGTTACATGTTTCTGGGCATTTTCTATGAAAATAATGAGAAAACTTGACCAAATTATTAGAAGCTGCTGTTAACACATGCCGAGCTTTGCATCTGAATTGTTTGAAGACTCGGCTCTCTCTGGGCAAGGTCCACCAATCATAGAATCATAGAATCATTAAGGTTGGAAGAGGCCTCCAAGATCATCGAGTCCAACCGTCAACCCAACACCACCATGCCCACTAAACCATGTCCCTAAGCGCCTCATCTACACGTCTTTTAAATACCTCCAGGGATGGTGACTCAACGACTTCCCTGGGCAGCCTGTTCCAATGTTTAACCACTCTTTCAGTAAAGAAATTTTTCCTCACGTCCAATCTAAACCTCCCCTGACGCAACTTGAGGCCATTTCCTCTCGTCCTATCGCTTGTTACTTGGGAGAAGAGACCGACACCCACCTCGCTACAACCTCCTCTCAGGTAGTTGTAGAGAGCAATGAGGTCTCCCCTCAGCCTCCTTTTCTCCAGGCTAAACAAACCCAGTTCCCTCAGCCGCTCCTCATAAGACTTGTTCTCCAGACCCCTCACCAGCCTCATTGCCCTTCTCTGGACACGCTCCAGCACCTCAACATCCTTCTTGTAGTGAGGGGCCCAAAACTGAACACAGTATTTGAGGTGCGGCCTCACCAGTGCCGAGTACAGGGGCACGATCACTTCCCTACTCCTGCTGGCCACACTATTGCTGATACAGGCCAGGATGCCATTGGCCTTCTTGGCCGCCTGGGCACACTGCCGGCTCATGTTCAGCCGGCTGTCGACCAGCACCCCCAGGTCCTTTTCTGCCAGGCAGCTTTCCAGCCACTCTTCCCCAAGCCTGTAGCGCTGCATGGGGTTGTTGTGGCCAAAGTGCAGGACCCGGCACTTGGCCTTGTTGAATCTCATACAATGATGCTGAGCAGAACCTGCCCCCAGCAGATTGGATCGGGGCAGCCAAACAGAACTAAAGCAGGAAGGTGCTCATCTTTCAGCTTTCAATCCCTACTTTGCTGTGCAGCATGGAGTATGGAGTAAAAAGTTGTTTACTTTGAAGACGTTTAACTGGAAGAGCAGGTGGCTGGGCTAAGGGAGAAAGGCAAGTAGTGAAAATCCATTATGGAAAAGGTTGGAGTCATGGAGTAGGAGCTGGGATAGTTGAACCCGCTGGTGAAGTACCTCCAGGGTCCGTGCTCCAGACATGGGGTAAACCATGGGAGGACAAAAACCAGCCAGGAAGGAAGTCAGGGAGGGAAACAATGTGGTAGCAGTGGGCTGGGTGGAAAACTGAGACAGGATAAAACAACCTGGAGTCAGAAAAGGGAACTGCTTTTGTAAGGCGATAGGAAAACCCTTGTGCAAGGGCAAAAGAAAGAAAATACAAGGAGTATTACAGCCTGTTCCTTTGCTTGCCTGCAATGTACTTCAAGGTAGAAATAGAGTCAGAATCAGAAAATATCATACCACTGCTGTGAGTACTTAGTTGGCTCAAGTAGCAGAGGTGAGTGGCAATATCACACTGTATAGTGGAATTTTTATTTTCTATTTGTGTGATGAATTTGCTATAAGTCAACAAAAAATGCTATTAAAAGAATATTGTTAGATTTACGAACTTTGTGCAAAATAAAGGTTAGGAAATAATAGTGAGGAGGTTAACTCTTATGCTGTGATTCAGTCTTTGATTATGTGTTTGCAGACTACTTTTCCACCAGTCCTCTGCCTCAGTTTTTTTGAAAAATGTACAAACTAACGGTGGGGAATTGGAATTGCTCAGTGAATTGCTGTTTTGCTTGCTATGGAGCATGTACAAAGTATGAGGCAAGAAACTTCAGGAAGGCAAATGAAGTTCTCTAAAAGCACAACAGGGCATTTTCAATTTAAATTTGGGGGGAGCAGGACAGGAAATAGTGATTTGACCAAAACTTTTTGTGGCAGTAAATAAATCAGTTTTAACAGGAAAGGTTTCTTGGATCCAAGATTGAATTCCTGATTGTAAGGAGGAAACTCCTTCATCACCCATCTTCTACCCTCCAAGGAGCTTATACCCCAGTAATTAAAACACACATTTGGGATGTAGGACACGCAGAGTCAAGCTTCTGCTCTATCTGGTTTAGAACAGGGATCTGAATTTCAGTCTTAAGCGTACCGAGCACTGGTCTATCTCTGTTGGTAGATGTTGATTCTCTGTTGAAAAAAGGGATAGCCCCAGTGGGAGAGGGGGGTCTGCTGCCTACGACCCGATAGCCTATGAACTACGGCAGTGCAGCGTGACATGCCACGAGCCTCTCTTCTGAATCACAGCAGCCTGCACACCTCACCCAGGGCCAACAAGTAGCCCCTTGGCACCACTGAGGGCTCAGTGCCAGAGATGGCACCCCGTAAAGCTCACCAAGGTAGTGCAGAGCATGCCGTGCCTGTGGCATGGTGACTGCCCGTGCCTGGAGCCAGGGTCGGTGCCAGTGGAGGATGGAGGCACAGAGGGAAGGGGCATCCCCTTGCTCCCCTTCCGGCCCCACCGCCAGCAGTCCTGGCTCACCATGTCAGAGGTGAGGTGCAGTGCTGAGGGGTGGAAAGGGAGACTTTTTACCAAATTAACTGAAGAGCCCAGTGCAATAGTGGATTTTGCTGCCTCTGATACAGAATTCCTGTATAGTATTAGACTAGTTATTTACAGGCTTTATAAAAATGGTTAATTTTTTTCCATTGTTTTCTGCATGCCTCAAGCATGATTTGTAGAAGTACTGAGTATTGTGGCTGAAACTG